AAGTCTAGAGGAATTTCCACATCAAAGGAATAATGCCTTGTTAAAAAGCGAAAACCTACTATTGAAAAGGAAAACCTAGTATCAAAAAGGAAGTTTGATATGGAAGAAACGGATCGCGAATCAAATGCGAAGATCGCAAAGTGCTGCGGAACTCCAAACAAAGTACTGCGGAAATCCTGTACCCTGAGATTGCAGGGTTTCCGCAGCGCTTTCGCAGGATTTCCGCCGGGTCACCTGCGGAAATCCTGCGAAAGCGCTGCGGAAGTTCCGGTCGGTTGCCTGAGCACATCCCGATATGACCTGTAGAGAAACAGATGAAGTGGAAAGAAGTTACTGTTCATTCTTTGACAGACAAGGGGAACCTTTTCAGTTGCTGTGACCTTTCCAAATGGTTCCTGTTGACAAGGCGAGCCTTTCTAATCAAAGTGGCCTTCTCAACTCCTAAATTGCAGTGTAGAGCATCAAACGCTGATTCCAAATCTGTTCTTATTATCTGCGAAACGCCCCTGGATGCCAAGTTATGAGTACTTAGGCGCAAAAAATGAGCATAAAATCTATGTAAAAATAGGGGTTACAATCTTTTCTGCGAGTATGAAGGTATGAGACAGGAGGTATTTGAATAAAGTCCGATAATCACTGACTATTTGCATTTCTGGACGATTTTGTTTCAGATGCGATTTTTTGCAACTTTTTATCAATTTTCAATTCAAAAAAAATTTTTTTGTCAATCTACCCAAAAAAACTCATAATCCGGCCTTTAAAAACGCGCTTGGCAGATAAGGAAGACAGTTTTTGGATCCTTGTTTATGCTCTGCAAAGTGATGATGTAGGTGTCACGAGGAAAGGCTACTTTGACTGAAATGGCTTCCCTTGTGAGAAACACGAGCACGCTTTGAGTACGTCTGATTACAAGTTTGAAAGTGTTTAGGAGCAGTGCCGGTCCAAGGGGGGGGGGCGGGGGGGGGGGGCGCGCCCCCCCCCCCCCGAGAATGGGTCGCGAAATTTTTGGAACTTACCTATATGAGTTATAAAAATGTGCGAACGACTTGTTTATTTTTGTAAATAATTAAAATAATTTTTAAAATTTTTTAAAATTCAAATTAGCCTTACAAAAAAATTTTTTTCGGGGGCGTGGCTGACGCCACGTCCCCTTTTTCCAGATTTTAGGGGTTGGGGGCCCGCAAAAATTTTAAGAAGTACCCCTAGAGTTTTTTCGGAGTGCGTGGCTAACGCCACGCACCTTCATTTGAAAAATATTTTTTCCGCCCCCCCCGGTCCGAAATCCTGGGACCGCCACTGTTTAAGAGGAAACTGAACTCGCGCCGCTTTGCGGTCTGCGCGCGTCTCTTCATTCTAATCTATCTCACTGAGCCATGGCGGTGCGGGCTGCTCCACTTGGTATGTTTTTCGGGTTGGAAAGGACTAACTATTGCATGTGCCATGCCACTGGGGCACTCGGCCCATCTCTTTACACTGAAAATATGGCAGAAGCAAGGTCTCTCTCTCCCCCCCCCTTATGGTCAATTTGTTGTTTTTTATTTACTCTGGAAAAACGCCAAGATAGGCTGAGACTGAGCAAGATCTCGGTTGGGCCGACCTGCGATGAGCGCGCTAGACGGACAAAACAGGCATTCGCACGCGCTAGGCCGTGAGAGGTTGGACAAATAATCTTGCCCTTTTCTTGCGACGAATTCGAAACGCATAAGCGTACCCTGATCGGCAACGCGGCAGCGATGCGCAGTTTTCTTCGCCGAGCGCGACAGCGAGTACGAACTTGGTTACGTTTTTTGAAGTTTCAGACGCTGATCTTTCTACGCTTGTGTTCCGAATTCGCTTTCGACAAGCTTTCGAAACTCGGTCAGCAACAAGCACTATCGTCACAAGGTGGAGCAATCACAGCTTTGTAATGTTGGTGTCTAAAATTTTCTGGTACAGCCATGCGCACATGGATGGTTTTGCATTTCGTCCTCGAATCTCCAAGAAGCTTTTTCCACAGTCTGAAAGTTCTCCAAAATATCATGCAGTGGAGAAGCATCGTTGATCTGAGGCTCAAATTCCCACTAAAGGATTTGGCCACGACAACTACCTTTATTGATTTCAAAAGGCCGCGCAGACTGAAAAAAAAAACACTGAATTGCGAAATGCTTGCTCTATTCGCGTCAGCAGATTATGTTTGGGATCATCCTAATAAGAATGAGAATTAATCAAAGTTGTACATGGTGAAAACATCGGGTTGAGTCTCGGTGAGTAACTTCGAGGAGCAACCAAATCGAGAACATAATTGCTGAAAAGAGAAAGACGAAGTATTTATGATGGTTGTTCCTTTGCAAATCCACCCCCACCGCGTCTCGCAATGTCCTCTAGCGTCAAATAATTTGTAATCGTCACAGTGAGCAGCCTATGTAGGTAAGCAAAAACTGGAAAAGAAGTTTGATAACTATTTTCCACTAGCTACTGTACCCCAAGCTAAAGCAGTTATGTATATACGAAGGCGTGCCATGTTGAAGTAGCTGAATGGTAACCTTCAGAACTAGTTTACTCTGAACATAGACCTGATGCGAAATTTTGGCGAACTTCGCGGAGGCCGTCCAAGCACAGCCGCCGGTATCTTTTTTCACGAATAATGAGCGGCAATCCAGGAACTTCACACCCCACTGGCTCATCTGACTCCATCATAAAGATTCTTACTGTAGTTTCAAGCCTCAAAGTACATGCTTTGCACAAACTATATTTGTAGCAGTGTAGAGCCAAAATTGGTTTGTTACGAATTCCAGCTTTTGGTGAAAACTACATCCAAAAACCAATTCGAACTTTTCTGCTTTCTACCCTTACAAGCAGGTGAGACCAGAAATGGCAACAAGTTTGCAAAGAAGCCGTAACTTCATCAATAACGCTATCGATAGGTTTTCTTTTCGCTTCTTGGTATTAATGATAACAACTGGTCTATAAATTAAGGCTGAAAAGGATACTTTGTCAATAAGCAATCAGCAAGTATAACTCCTCTAAGCTGTGTCACTTTTCTTTCCACTCTTGTCATACACCTACTTGATTTTACTGATATTCCACTTTAATGTGGAACGTCACCGGTAAGCTAAGCGCAAATAGTGCATGCAAAGAAGTCACAAAAAACCAAGCGTTCCAATTCTCTCTTTCATACATGCTCCAATAATCGTGCGCTTGAAAGTCGGGACGAATTCAAACAGACAAGCGTAAAAAGATTGGCGTCTGATACTTCAAAAAACGTAAAAAAATCAAGTTCGTGCTCGCCGTCGCGCTCGGCGGAGAAAACTGCGCGTCGCTGCCGCGTTGCCGATCAGGATACGCTTGTGCGTTTCGAATTCGTCTTTTTTTTTGCAGACGGGCGGTGCTCTGCGCATCGGCGCTGCTCCAATCACGTTTTTGGCTTCTTTTTTTTGGGAATACTAGGGAGTGGATTGTTTTTCTACCATGTTAGATTGTTGGTGGTTTTAACATACACAAAATGCTGTTGTGCACATTGTTTAACTAGTTCGAACACGCTTTCTCGCTTTTACAAGCGAATCATCTAAAATGCGTTAGAGCACAAGTATGAATTTCTTAATCAGACAGGATGATACCCTTTTATCTACAGGCTGTGAATGAAAGCTCGAGAAATGACCGAAACAAAGTATTTGGCAATTTCGACTTTTAAAACGAATATTTCTTTATTATAGTCATTATACAAATTAAATACTAACGAATATCGAACTGTTGACTTACTTTTGCCCTCTCTAGTGTTTGAATAATCCGCTTCATTTAAAATAGCAAAATTTCGATACTGTTTTGAGATTTCCGTATCATCCACCTCTCTTGCGCGGATTCCAAAGGCTTTGAAATTTTCTATAATTTGCACCAATTATGATACTCTAGTCATTCTATCATTTTTTTCCTAAAATAAAATCATCATGCGATATTTACTTCACAGTATAGTCTCGAAAACGCTTTGCGGCATTGTATGAATAAGCTCGAATCTGTTGTTCCTTCCAAGCAGTAAATAACTGTAGATGAAATAGATCACCAGCACAAACTCGCTAATCATACGATCAAACTTGTCTTGACAATTGTAGTGCGTGCTCGAGTTTCCTATCACTCATTCTATGACTAAGGCAGGCGCTATATTCCTCGAGGAGTATGGCATGACGATGATCGATACGCATCAAATACGTGTAAAACCGGCCTTTTGTCGTCGACGCTGTTAATCGCTACGACTGGCAATTGCCCGTCGCCGAAATATCGGCGAATGTACTTTACATACCTAGATCGCAAACAAGTTACTACTTACTACACGTCAAATCGATACATATCAAACGTGTGGTCGCCGAAAACTGGCGATCGCCAATCGCTACGGTTAGCGATTGGCGATCGCCAGTTTCCGGCGGCTACACCTTGGTTACGTATTGATTGTACATGTGATTGTGATGTGTACATGTGAACTGGTTGGCACACAGACGCTAATATTGGCGATTGGCGATCGCCAGTTATAGCGATTGGCGATCACTCGTCGCCATGCTATACTCCTCGAGGAGTATAGCGGCATATCTCGCGCGATTCCGTCATTCGCTACATTCACCGACTTAGCAGTTTGCCAGATATCTACAGATCAATCGTGTACGGGTCCTAAGTGCATAGGCGCGTACCTACCGTCAGTTATAGCAAAAGCTTTAAGTATGGCCCATGCAAAGCGCGCTAACGACCAGTTACGAAGAGTCGCTGCAGTGTCAGATCGCGCAGCGACTGGAATCGCGTGAATTATTCCTTAGGCCTAAGAGACTGGAAGCCTCTTTTCACACATTGTTAAAACAACCTTGATCATATGTTTAAAAGTTTTGACTTGTGACCCATCTGATCTGTGGTTGTTTGTTAGATACCTGGGAACAGGGGAGATCCAAGTCAAGTTTGTTTTAAATGAAGTGTGCAAAGCTGTTTCGGGTCTCTTAGTCGAAGAATGGATGGTAGTCAGAATGAGTGATACTTGTTTTCCCTTTTTAGATCTTTCTCTAGTACAACTGGAAATGCTGTCTCGAAATCTGCTACTACCTCGTTTGGCTGTTCGTACATTTAAGACGTCAGCCCCAATAGCTAGCGGACATCACATCGAACATTGGTGGGGACCTGAAAAGGCTGCTGGGCGTGAACTTGTTGGTTTTGGAGTCAACGGTGACAATGTGAGTTTCCTTCTCCTACTGATATCGGTGTAACAAACTCTTTAGGCGTACAGCGATCGTCTGGACTATTGGTATCCTGCGATCAGGTTTCGTAAAGAGGACGACGTTATTGCGCCAATTCGAAAGAAAGAAACCGGTGACTGGAAAGCACTGACGCCAGCGGAGAAGAAGCTGTGTGAGTTTTCAGTCTTGTTTTTTATAATTTTACAAATGTTTCTTTTGTCAGATTAGTAAGTCAACCAATCGATTTTCATACATCGCCCACTCCGCGATTGCTGCCTTTGCTGTGCATCTCTGACCTGCTGCACGCATTGCTTAGGTGGCAACATGCAACATCATGTTAACGACGATAGTCAACCAGTCATAAAATGTCGCCAAAATGTTAGCTGTACGGGCGAAATTCAGAAAGATGCAGAATAGAAGTGAAAGCAGTCGTGAAATGGAGGATACTGTCTATTTTTTTGTATTTCTATAATGTGTGTCGGTACACATACCATCTAGATTCGCATATCCATCCTGGATGCGTTGACAGATTGGCACTGTTTGCAACATGCAACATTGGCAAACTTTTCTGGTCCCTTCTTGATGTCAAGATGTTCGTTCTCCTTTATGTCAACATGTTGCATGGTGTCGACACGTTAGGCTGGGTTCGTACTGATTCACATGTGCCGAAACTGTTCCCACACTCTGCGTGAACTGTTCCGGAACTGTGCTGCATGCGCTGCAACCGCCCCGCATGCGTTTTAAACGGCGGGAGTTGGAGAATTTTGAGCGTTGCCAACGGTTTTTTTTTCAGATTCTTCTCATTTTGGCCTTGTTTCTCTACCCGCTTCCCTTTTTGATCAGCAGAAGTTCGAACTCGAAGAGGGTTCGAAGAATGAGCGCTTTTCTGCTCTGCGTATCTGACAAAATGTCTGTTATCAGACACTCGCATCGGCCGGCGGCCGTCCGAATACCGGCCGGTGGAGGTGGTGTCGACTTCACTCAGCCGCATAGTCTACGACCACCGGCCGGTATGTGTCAGTCGCGCAAAAATGGTTGTGGGGCGCGATTCTTCTTCGTTTTGTAGCCTTCGCTTTGCCCCTCACCCCCACCCCTCGGCTCCATGTCAGGAGTCACGCCGCGCGCCGCGCCGCTTCGCCGCGAACGTCGCGTCTAAATTTTGTACCCCACAGAACTGCCCGGTGCTAAAGTGGCACGGCGCCAGTCTAGAGGGGTGGGGGGTGGGGGCAGATCATGGCTCGTGTCATAAGTAAGACTGCGCCAGGAGTGCTAGCTTCTGTTTTGCTGACATCGCTGGCGGCATCGCTTCGCGAAAAATTCGCGCCGACCGTGACTCCTGACCGTTCCCCCACCCCTCCCCCAATTACAAAACGTAGTAAAGAACTTCAAAAACATATCCATTTATTGTATAAGCATACATAGTGAGGAATTATTTACAAATAAGGCTGGTACGTAAAGCCTTATACAATATGTCTCTAATGAAGCTATAAAATTTGGACGTTTCTTATGTCCACGGGAAGATGACGTTTCTTTGCGCATGAGAACATCCATTCAACGCAAAAGATAGCACATCGGGCCGCTACTCATTCCGAATTGACTAGTTGCTGCACTCTGTATTCTTTAGGCCCCGGTCAGACTTCACGCGACTTAATCGTCGCGACCAAATCGCCAAGATTTCCATTCATTTTCATTTCACATTCAAAAATTTCGGTCTGGAAAAGTATCACAACCGAATGCAAGTTGATCTGCGTGGAATGATGTTGTAACAGTTGTCTCCTCGCGATTCAGTCGCGACGATCAAATCGCGTGAGGTCTGCCCGGGGCCTTAGGGTGACTCTCACAGCGGACATCTGCAAACGGGATAAGCTTTTCACAAGTGAGATCACTGATACCAAGGCTTACCACCCTGCTCAGGAACTGCTATTTAGCAGTGAGCGGAGCAACCCAAAGGCCTATTCCAGGAGGCGTTCAGTGAATGTTTCCCCTAAAGCACTCACCAAGATTAGTTTCTGTCAAATAATCGGTGTAAACCCACTTAACTTGGAGTGTACGCAATGACAGGCATAGAAATCGGGAATCCGTGGAACATGAGACATATTCGACATCCGTAGATATACAGCAGAGTTCCAGAATAATCAGAAGAAAAAAATAGTTCGTGAACGCATTCTGCGAAGAATAACGATAGTTGAAAGGCCATAGTCATTAGCATGAGTGAGATGTTGATCCCTATTGCATGACCATGGTCAGGTTCCATGAGTAGAATAAAATCTCAGATACATGCAGCATAACGCACCTGTCTTCTAAAAGACGTGAAACATGTTATTTTGGTTTTTTGTTCACGTATCAAAAGTAAAAGCCAACCTAGACTCTATACCTCGCGAGCAGCACGTTTCAGCTTGGTATCCCTGTTTTTGACCATTTAAGAGAAGCACGATGTGAATTTGCAAAAAGTAAGGACTGCAAACGTCTTACTTTTTCCTTCAACTCTGAAAAAACATAATGAAACGGGATAACGTCAACTCATAATGCGGCGAAGTTCTGAGCGTCTTCCAGTAGCACCGCAGCACCCATAATGTTCAGATAAACCTACATAAACAAAAACATAAACGAAACAAAGAAGTTGCGACTACCTCAATAAAAAGAGAAGTAGAGCGCGCCTTTCCTATGAGGCTCGATCATGTAATGTTTGAATTCCATGCAATTCCCGCACTTTGGCACATGGACCCTAGATAGATACCGGCTGGCGACCGTTTGATCGGCCGCCGGCCGGTATGATTTTTTGAAGCGGTCACCGGCCGGCATTTAGCTCCACCCAGATTTATGGAAGGCCGGTGCGAGTGTCTGTGTTCTTGCGCTTGTCCATTCTCGCTTCGTTTTCTTTTTGCTCAAACATATTCCATTTGTTTAGGAAACCGCTGCATAGTTTCCGCAGGCATCTGTCTCGAATTAGGACATGCGAGCATTCTGAAAATGCGGAAATGGGAACTTTGTTCTTGTTTTCTGATAATTTCGTTTTTGGGCATTCTCAGCCCCTTTCCTTTTTCCATCGTTGCTTCTCCGTTCTCTCTTCTACCAAGCTTCTCCCAGTGATGAGAAAAGCTGGGAATTTGACGCGGTGTTGAAGAGAGAACGCTGTTTTTTTTCTGTGCATGTTCCGGATAAGTAGAGAAGAACAACGTTCATTCCTCAACCCGCTTCAAGATCACAGCTCTTCTCATCACAAGGAGAAGCGGGGTAGAGCAATAAGGCCAAAATGAGAGGAATGAATATGGGAGAAATATTGTCGAAAACGGTCAAAATTCTCCAACTGCCGCCGTTCAGAACGCGTGCGGGGCGGTTACAGCACATGCAGCACAGTTCCGAAACAGTTCCAGCACAGTGCGGCACCTGTTCGGGAACAGTTCCCGCACATGGGAATCAATATGAACCCAGCCTTAGCTATTGCCTATGCCGCAGGTCTGGAAAAAACAGAGGTATCAGCAGTTGTGGAAGGGACAACAAATACTGTTGGGCACGCTTCATACTTGATCCTCTTGATCCACTAGATCGGCTCGATCCGCTTGATCCGCTTCGTGCAAAGGTGTACAGCGAATTTGCACAACCTACTTTTTTACCTACGCGGCGCCAAATGACAAACTAGTGAGCGTGCGTTTTTACACGAAGCGGATCAGAAGGATCAACTATGCCGCGTGCCGTAATAGGCTTTCTTGCTAAAGTGCCAATTGCACTTCAAAGAGTGTAATTTAGGTAAGTTATTGCTTATCTTGTGTTTGTCTCGCTTTTTTTTAGACATAACTGTGTATGGGAATCGCTTCCCATTACAAATGTTGTCCTTGTTTCTTCGATAGGTGCCAGACTAAGCGAATATTTTGTTCAGTTGCAAAAGGCGCACAGAATCAACGTCAATTCTGCGCGGACCTGCAGCTGAAGCCTTAGGTACCCAGGTAATCGCCGGGGGCAGGCGGCCATGCAATTCATGGGCAGGCGGGCACCGGAAAAATAGTTCGCTGATTTCTTGTCCTCCGCTTGCCGATATCTGGAAGAATGTTGGCGAAAGTTTAGACGAATGCTTGGAGAACTACTGCGGCTTTTTCACAGAATGGTTGCGGCGCAGTGGCCGCATTCTCGCGGACTTTCCGCGAGAATATGCAAAATTATTGAGGCGCACGGTCCTTTGTGAAGAACCGTACAGCCCATAGGTACCTTCCGCTGAGAGAAAGTACCCCAAACTCGGGTAATCTATCGATGGCACCCCTATTATGCAGTTGCCTTTGCTCGGCGTACGCCCTAAACTACATAAAAAGAGTCCAAGCGTCTGCTGAAAATTTGGCCCGCGCTCGCTGGAAGAGATTATTTGACGAGCGCTTGCAGAAAATCTTGCATTGCTCCCGCTGGCAGAACATGGAAGTACCGCTCGCTGAAGATTTGGCCACGCCTCAAATTTTGCTGACCGCTTGCAGAAAGGCGCGAGTTTGCTGACTGCCTGCCCCGGCGATTATCTGAGTAGGTGTCAGAGTAAGCGAATATTTTGTTCAGCTTCTTCAGCTGCAAAAGGCACAGAATTATCGTTGATTCTGCGCGGGCCTGCAGCTGAAGCAGGCTTTGGCAGCAGTAGAGATTATGCAGCAGACATTAATTCTGTGCGCCTTTTGCAGCTGAACGAAGCTAAACAAAATATTTGCTTACTCTGGCACCTACCTTAGGACGACCGGTAACGGCACGTCGTCCATTTGGCTGGATTCGCCATGGAGCGCGGTAGTGACTAGGGCGCAATTCCTTACCCGACTTCAATTTGCTTTGTTCGATATTTAAGATCAGGGCAAAACTTTGCTAACATATTTCGGGGCAGTGCGGTTGTTAGCCTACTCGCCGTAATCGACCAATATCGTTGTATGGATTTTTTACAAACTTCAAGGCACGGCGTCGGAATTTTGCAGGGGGTAAGTGAGCATGCTCATTACGAATGCAATGTTAATTTCTAGAATTACAACTTGAACGGGAGACGTCCTTCCGCACGGGCAGTCTCCAGCGTTTCCTGGATTTTGACTTGTCCGAATATCTAATGCACGTCGCAAATCTTTCCTCCCCTGTTTTGCTTAGGCAAAAGCCGCCGCAGGGTGTGTCGTGCGCGGCGGTGGTCGTGTGGAAAGCATCACGATCGTGCGAATCGTTCTACACCCGATTTGCACTGCAACGCGCGTCGCGTGCTCGCAGTGACAGCCGGTCCGTGCAGTGGATAACTTACCTGTACACCCGGTTATCGGCTACCTAATTATGGTGCCATTTTTTTCAGACGTGCGAGAACATTTCACATAGGCCTAGCATGATACAAGATAGCGCACAAGCATCAATTTTTTTTTATTTTTGACAAAATTGATGCTTGTGCGCTATCTTGTATAGAGTTGTTACTAGTCATAGAGTTGCTTTCATTTAAGGGTTAAGGTTTCCAACAATCTAGTCCTTGCGTAAACAGATGACCAGACAAAGTAGAGGACGAATGAACAAGTACGGGTTTTGGCTCAATTTCAGCCATTGTTGTTACGTTATAAGTTCCATGTACAAATACGTACACTTAATTCATCATTATTACAACAATCAGTTCCCGAACCTGTTGTAAAAATCTGCATCTAACTCTGAGGTGACTGGGAGGAGCTGCCAACTGCGGAAATTGTCGCAAAAGTAAGTATGATCAACTCCCAGATTTGAGTGTAGGGCGGTTGAGGACTTTCGATTATAAAACTAAACTTGTTAAACCTCCACGTTATGACTTGCCTTTCGTACTCTCTCTCTCTCTCTCTCTCTCTCTCTCTCTCTGTGTGTGTGTCTGTCTGTCTGTCTGTCAAACCGCTTACGTTGGGTTGGCAAGACTCCATCTCTACACGAATCTCGGAGCTGATGATATAGATACATGCATAAATCGGAGAGGATTTTGATGAGTGAACATGCAAAAAGAAACACTGGGATCAGAAAGAAAAACAAAATCTCTCGGGATCATTCTTATCATCAGATGCTACCCCTTGCAATGCAAGTGATCCAAAAATTCAATTTCCGTGCCAATAACGCGCTCCATGGCGAATCCAGCCAAATGGACGACGTGCCGTTACCGGTCGTCCCTACCTTACAAGGGAAGGATGGTTTGTCGAAGTGGCCTTTTGAGATGATTTGTATACCATGGTGGAGGGCATAAAACGCTGATTCCAAATTTGTCTTCCTTATCTGCGGCGCGGTCCTGGAGGAGGAGTTATGAGCGCCAAATTTTGAAGGAGCAAAAAATGAGTGTTTTTCTGGGATAAAACATTGGCTAAAATTTTCCCAGCGCTTAAATGAGACAGCCGGAGTGTGGATATATCTCACCTTAAAGTATTTATCTTATAGAGTGTTGGAAAGATTACCACTGGTTCATTTAATTGCTAGGAATAATGTTACTACTGTTTTTATATTATTTGCACATTCAATTTTTTTCTCCAGTAAAAGCTCATAATTTCTTGTGCAGGAATGCGCCGCAGATAAGCGAGACAGATTTGGAATCAGCGTTTTATGCTCTACAAAATGATGTACAAGTCATCGCAAAAGGTCACTTCGATTGACCTCCCTCCCTTGTTAGAGCAGCAGACATTATGCAGCAGACATTAATTCTGCGCGCCTTTTGCAGCTGAACAAAATAGTCGCTTAGTCTGGCGCCTACCTTCGGTACAAATTCGTTTTGCGCTTTTTTTTTTGCTCTTTCCCTTTCTCTTCGCGAACTCTTTCATTGTTTCCTTTCACTCCGCCTCAATCTCAACGAGATATACATACAGTATGATCGTCTCCACGATTCGTGTAGAAGCGGGTTGCGGACTTTTCAAGGATGAACTTGTGAAACCTCCACGTCATAGCACTGTTTTTCGTAGTCTCTCGCTATCAAAAACTGCCACGCATTGAGTTGGCAAAATCCCGCCTCTACATGGATCGTGGATTCGATGATACTTTTGTTGATAATATTTTCTTTGGATCCTATATTCAGTGTACCGCTACAGTTTCAAGCAGACGTTGGCGGAATTCGAAGCCCCAACCGGATACTGGAAGGTAGCTCCTTTTCTTTCATATTTTATCGGTCTGCCATAATTATTTAGGTGATTGTCTCCACTACGCTTGCAATCATATCTCTTGCAACATTCTACAGCGTCTTTTTGAACATCTATGGTACCTTTATAGGAATATCGGTCTCAACTTTGCTAGCATACTTTCAACTTTCAGTATTCCCCCCTATTCCGCCCACATTCCAAGATGAATACAAAGAAGCACAAGTACAGCGTGCCCTTGTTCTTGAAAAAGTATGTTTCGATTTATATGGAGTTTATCGTCACATTGAACAATTTCATTGCAGGGCAACTTCTTGGGAGCGCCCAAATATTACGATTATGAAAATAAGAAGTGGAAGTAATCTTTTATATGAAAGGTGTGTTTTGTAGTCCTCGTCATACCTCATTTTGTCACCCTGATTGCTCTGTCATCCGCGAATCCTTGTGATCTACTGGCGGCTGTTAAAGCGATTAGCATATACACATCTTCTTTCAGCTAGCATCATCGCGCTTCATTCTCTCTCAGCGGTCGGATCAGTTCCCACTCTTTCATTATTATAGCTGTAGATAGTCATATTATGTTCGCTCTGGTCTGACTTCTAGAGAGAACCCGCGGATAAATGTCGTTTTTGTTTTATCCCTTGTATCTTGAGAGGAAGTTGTAGAATTACTTCTAAGTAAACATTCAAAACTTCCTACTTCATACTAGTAAGAGCCATGCGGTTTCATGTTTTGCAGGATACAGCGCAGGCTTGCTTCATCTTTATTTGATCACACTTCTGTTTCTCTCATTATTGTCATTTTAATGGTTGTGTGTCTGATCAAGAGACCGAGAGCAAATGACCATCTGGACTACAGAGTCCAATACTTTTACCTCGCCGTCACCAAAAGGTGTGTTGCCAGTGTTAAAGGCAGCGTCCAGGCAAATCTGGACCTAAGGGGATTTTACGTGTTAAGTAATTTTGGGGTCTTAACTAAGTCACTGCCCAACCCATTTCAGGTAGTGCTCTAACGGCTGAGATATCCCCCTCTAAACTGGACCCCGGGATCGTATGCGCTTGGATTCATGGCGCAAACTATCAGTTTTCGCTTGAGGACCCACAGAGTTGCGCCATGAATCCATGCGAATACGATCTCGGGGTCCGGTTTCGAGGGGAATATCTCAGCAGTTAGAGCACTACTTGAGCTGCGGGCTGGGCATCGGCTTATTTAGGGCCAAAATTACTATCCACGTGAGATCCTCATATGTCCAGATTTGCCTGGACTGCCTTTAACTGCTTAAACATCTAACTTCAGTTTAGTAACGTGCGCTGATCGCGCAGTACGTTCTCATTATTATGGTCCTCATTATCATGGAATGGAAATGATAAAGAATTCCTTTGCGGCTCAAAGGCAGTGGCTTGGCAGATTGGCAACTATTCATCGTTCTACTTCCTGGAGCTGAGTCTTAAATTGCGCTTGCAACATTGGAGAGATAAATAACACACTTTTCTGGACGTGAGCTGCTGTTTGGGCGGGAGCCAAAGTCGGCCTCTTTGTAGAACAATTGGCTGTTGGAGCCAAAAATTCGCCGAGATGAGTGGGGTGTTTTTACACATCCGGAGTCCACCAGCCAATCGCTCTCGAAGGCGGGCTTTCCATTTCCAAGTCCGAGAAGCGAGCTATCGATATCTTCAGAAATTGCAGAGCACAGTTTTGGTCAGCTCATCCAGAGGAATCGGGAGCGATCTGCCGAGACTCTGCCTTTGAGCCCGTGTGCGCTGACTGACATCCTTGCGGCGGGGGAGCGGGTCCCCCATAAGGAGTCGCGCGCGGACGCCGCTGCTTTTCCATCATAGGGAACGCCGCTCCTCTTTGCAGGGATTTCAGGGCATACGGGCCTAGAGGCCGCATGCACTGACATCCCGCCGGGGAGGGGATCGCAGTTTAACAAAAATCCAGATATCTGGTTCATATTCTGAAGCTCCAGATATCTGGATTTCACGCTATCCGTAAGTATAGTATCCGTAAGGCTTGAGATATACCTGACGATAGAGGTATAGCGGGTGTTGGCTAATCACTGATTGGCTGCTGCGCTGGGTACGCTTTGGGTGCAAGGACGAAGTAGCCCGTTACTATGCTTATCCTAGGCCATTAGGAAAGTAAGTCTTGAGAACTACCAAAATCAAAAAAATATGATTACATGAGATTCAAAAAAAGTCATCCTGTTCTCATCAACGAATTTATTCGAGAAGCATAAAATGGGAACCAAATGTTGCACGTACTGGAAAAATAACCATTTGACAAATATCCAAGCGAGTGTCGCAGAAGAATCTTGATGTGTCTTGAGGCAAAAAGAGTGCTTTAGAAACTTCAGAAGTTCACAAATATGTTAAAAAGGAACAAATTCGAGCATTATCAGTGTTAGCAACATGATGCAGCTGAGAGAAGCTCACCGAAGTGAGCTTCATATCGCATAGGAACAGCTACGACAGCAAGTAGTAGCGTGGAGCAGCGGAGCATCGCTAACTACAGCAGGTCCTTTCGCGTTGGCTGCAGCAGCTAGAAGCAGCAGCGTCGCCTGGCGTCAATCGATACGCACAAAAAGCATTGCTGCTGGCAGCGTCTTAGGGACTTGTCATACTTCGCCGAGAAAAGCCCAAAAGCGTCCAAAAAAGCAGGAAAAAACTTTTAAAAAAGTCCAAAAAAGCCCGAAAGCGCCAGAAAGAGCCGGAACGCCCCCTTCTGTGCGCACGTGTTGGCGCTAAGAAATGTGTGTTGATTTCGCAGCCATGTCTTTTTGGTTCATTTTCCGTCGTCTGCATATCAAAATAATGCCAGAATTCTACAAAAAGTTCGTTTCTGCGTTTCGGCTCTTTCGGGGTTTTTCGGGCTCTTTTTGAGCGCTTTTGGGTTTTTTGGGCTTTTGGGCTTTTCTCGGCGAAGTATGACAGGTCCCATATCGTCAGCTATAGCGACCCATCGTCACTTATATCTCAAGCCTAAGTCCTATCCGTAAGTATTCCTAACATCCTTCATGAACAGAAGCGAGAAGCTGTACAAGCCGCATTTTTCAGCGTTTTGTATGATCCCCTGATGATCCTCGGCAACCGATCGTTTTTCTTCAAACTCGTTTCTCTTCATTCGAAGTTATCGAAAGATTTTCAAAGTGCACCGGTTATCTAACTCAACAGTGCCGAGCATGTTAGTTGATAAGAACAAGTGAGTTTGTGGGACATCGAATTTTTCGATAAACCCCAACTTTCGACTTCTGGTTCATCGCAAATTTCATGACCTTAAAGGCAGTGCCCCGGCAAAAACTCGATTTCTAGAAAACACACTTACCGGGGGTTATCCGCAAGGCAGAATCCGAAACCGCATTAGAAGGAGCGAGAGCGGCGAGAACAGCTTTCCGAAGCCTTACTTGAAATTCGACGGTCCCCGCCAAGGCTGAGACGCAGAGTCCTTGCACCCCACGATTTTGACTGTGGCGGCATGCGTACTCTGCCACATAGCAGGGACTCGAACAGATCGGAGGACCCGCCCCAGGCGTAAGTTTCAACACTTTCCAGTGTTTTTCTCGCTCTAGGTCGAGTGTTGTGACCTCTCACTTGCGTGATGTTGTGTCTGAGAGGGGTCACTTTCGCATGGCAATGGAATCCCAAAACCCCCATTCTGCCCGGACACTGCCTTCAATACATAATTTGTTCTTATCGGCAACATGCTTCGCACTGTTGGATTAGATAATCAGTACAACATTGAATGGTTTCCGTTAGCTTCGAAGAAAGAAAATTGATTTCGAAAAAAAGTGTTTGGCCGCCGGGGATCATCAGAGGGTCATACCAAAAGCTGGAAAATGCGGCTTGTACTACTTTTCGATTCTGTTCAATAGGTTCACTAGCAAATGGGTTGGGGCAGATACATCTCTGACGCAAGTAAGTAGTAGTAGAAGCAAGATCATACTCTCAAGGAAACTTTTCACAATGAGTAATTCCTAAATCATCTACGCTGTTCTTCTTGCAAATACCCTACCCCAGGTACCACAGCTCCTAAACATGGGAAGCAACTCAGTCATCTATATAGAACCGATGGTTCAACCCAAAACTCATGCTCACACTCAGGAACTCTGCAAAGGCTGTAAACCCATCAACCTTCGCAATCACTCAGAGTCCCATCTTATATATAAAGCTGAATGTCTGTTTGTCTGTCTGTATGTCTGTCTGTATGTACGTATGTTCCGAATAGAAAATTCCATTTCTGAACCGATCCGGACCAAACTTGGCACACATACACTACGGGCCCCGGCGGGTGTCATAGGCTACTTTTCGTCATCGATCGATATCGATTTTATCGATTTTTATCGATTTTTTTGCTGAGTTCACCTACGGGGCTAGGAGTTGGCACAGGGGGGGAAGTGAGCATGGGGATTTCGAATACAATATTAGTTTTCAGGATCGTCGATTACTTTTATCGATTTTATCGATTTTTTTTGCAAAGTTTGAGCTACGGGGCTGGGAGTTCGCACAGGGGGGTAATCGAGCATGGGGATTCCGAATACAGTATTGGTTTTCGGGATTATCGATTACTATTATCGATTTTATCGATTTTTTTGCAAAGTTTGAGCTAGGGGGCTGGGAGTTGGCACAGGGGGGTAATCGAGCATGCTGATCACCCCCAAGGGGGGTGATCAGCATGCTCGATTACACCCCTTGCCAAATTCCAGCCCCCTAGCTCAAATTTTCAAAAAATCGATAAAATCGATAAAAGTAATGGACGATCCTGAAAACTAATATTGTGTTCGTAATCAGCATGCTCGATTACCCCCCTGTGCGAACTCCCAGCCCCGCAGGTCAAACTTCACAAAAAAAATCGATAAAATCGATAAAAGTAATGGACGATCCTGAAAACTAATATTGTATTCGAAATCCCCATGCTCACTTCCCCCCCTGTGCCAACTCCTAGCCCTGTAGGTGAACTCTGCAAAAAAATCGATAAAAATCGGTAAAATCGACATCGATCGATAACGAAAAGTGGACTGTGACACCCGCCGGGGCCCGAAGTGTATGTGTGCCAAGTTTGGTCCGGATACGGCGGAGCCGGGTAAGCCAGCTAGTACTCTCCATATAATCTCTCGTCAAGAAACGGTCATTCCTTAAAGCGAGACCAAAGCTCGCTCAAAGCTTTCTCTTGGACATTCTCGACAAAAATGTCCTGCCGCATGAAGCCTGTGTGTCTTCCTCCCCCCCCCCCCCTCCCCTCCCAAGCTCCCCTTGCTTCTTCTGCTTTTAGGAGCAGAAGTACGATTTCTGCGAATTGGAGCGTTAAAAGTGGATTTTAAGCGAGCGTTTTGTATAATTTAACATTGAAGAGAAATTCGCAGCAGGGATGCACTGTCGCATAAAGCCTTTAGAGCTTTCCTTCCTTCGAGACCAGGCTCCCTTTGCTTTCTTTGCTTTCTGAAGCGAAGTAGGATTTTCGCAAAGTAGAAGCGGCAATGAATTTCAAGCAAATTCTTGTGAGATTCAGCGCTGAAACCTATAAAATCATATCAAAAATGTCCTGTCGCATCAATTCACTGCTTTTCTCCTGCTATGTTTTTTCACTGACAAAGTAGAGTTTTCACAAAGTACAAGCAGCCAAAAATGAATGCAGCAGGTTTCCGTAAAATTTGACATCAAAATCTAGTTGGCAAGTGTTCCCGTATGGAGTCCTTGGGTCTTTCCTTCCAGCAGACCGAGCTCCCTTGGCTCATTTGCCTTAAAGGCAACGTCCAGGCAAGTCTGGACACATGGAGATCTCACGTGGATAGTAATTTCGGGGCCCTAACTAAGTCACTGTCCAACCGGCAGCTCAGGTAGTGCTCTAACGGCTGAGATTTCCCCCTCGAAACTGGACCCCGCGAACGTATTACGCATGGATTCATGGCGCAAAGCGTGGATCCTTGCGCGAAACTGCCACGAATCCATGCGGATACGATCGCGGGGTCCAGTTTCGAGAGGAATATCTCAGCCGTTGGAGCACTAGCTGCGCTGCCGCTTGGGCAGTGCCTTAGTTAGGGCCCCAAAAGTACTTTCCACGTAAATTCCCCATAGGTCCAGATCTGCCTGGACGCTGCCTTTAAAGACAAAAACATTATTTTCACAATGTAGAAGCACCCAAAAGTAAGTTTTCAGCAGGTTTTTGTGAAATTCAGCATTGCATCCTAGGAATTCAGTCAAATGTTTCTACAAATTTAGCAAAATGAACTCCCGCATGAAGTGACTGATTCTTTTCTCCCAGCAAATGTAGCTCCCTCTGTTTTTTTTTTAATTTCCAGAGGCAACAGTATTTCCACAAAGTAACACCACCCAGAATTGAGGTTTCAGCGAATTCCCCTAAATGACTTCCCATTCTTACATTTTATTGACTTCATCTACTTGAGTATTCCAATACCTCACTAAGCATTTAGTATCATAAGCTCCTTTACACTTCCTCGGGAACTACTGATGATGGGGCACCGAGGAAGTTACATACCCGGTCTAGTTCTTAGCCCCAAAACCGGTTATGTGAAAATTATTTACTTTTATAAGTTAACATCATTGATACAATAACATTATCTCCTTCAACTTATCACCCCTTTCTTGTTTTTTGATAGATCATTCTTATATATAAAGCTGAATGTGTGTCTGTATGTCTGTCTGTACGTATGTGCGGAATAGAAATTTTTATTTCTGAACCGATCCGGACCAAACTTAGCACACAAACAGTTCGGGGCAGGGAGCGTGTCATAGGCTACCTTTCATATCGATCGATATCGATTTTATCGATTTTTATTGATTTTTTCGCAGAGTTCACTTATTTGGCTGGGCGGTTGGCACAGGGGGGTAAATGGGCATGGCGATTCCGAATACAATATTAGTTTTCAGAATTATCGATTACTTTTATCATTTTATCGATTTTCTGCAAAGTTTGAGCTACAGGGCTGGGAGTTGGCACAGGGGGTATGTGGGCATGGCGACTCCGAATACAATATATTAGCTTTCAGAATTGTCGATTACTTTTATTGATTTTATCGATTTTTTCAAAATTTGAGCTGAAGGGCTGGGAGTTGGCACAGGGTGGTATGTGGGTATGCTGATATCGAAAACAACACAGGGAACGGGAAAAGAAGTGTAGAAGTGGGCACAGGGAAAGGCTGTACAGGGATAGGGATGGGACCTTTATTACAGTGTTTTGACAGGGCTGAGCGGAGCCGAGTAAGCAAGCTAGTATTTCCCTATTTTCAACTAAACTTCACATTCTTCTAAAATCATAACCTTCTTCTCGAAAACTAATTCTAATTGTGAGGATTGGAAAGGATAGTTAGCAAAATAGAGCGGCAGTTTTCCCAGTTATGATAGCGACTGGGGGCCAGACATTTGCACTAATTTGGTAGTCGGCAATCAATGTTTCGCAGCCGTTGTTGTTTGAGCTTTGTACATGACATGACTCGATCCCTTATTTGCATTTTGTAACTGAGGAGGTGGTCTTTTACGATTTGCCGACATTGCTCATATTTGCACTTCCATGCAGAACAAGTTCAATGATTTGCACTCAACGTGCATACAGTCTGGGAACTGACTGTTTACGTCGCTGTTATGCAAACCATGTGGATCTTTATTGAGTGATGCGCACATCATTACCAGGGTAAAGCGGGGGGTGCGGCACGCGACCGCCGGATACGACCCCCCCCCCTTGGGCCGGACCAGGGTCAAGCGTGCTGATGCGATCCGGAACCCTCATTTACGACCCCCCCCCTTTAAGGGTACCCATTCGTACGACCCCCCACCCCTTCCCTCTCCACCCCCCCCCCCCCTCCCCACCTTCACCCATTTATTCCCCTTACCTCCCCTGCCCACATTCCTCGCGGTAACCTGCATAAACGATTGTCAATCTCAAAAAACACCTGCGTGAGAACTTCAGTGAGGTTTCGGAAGCAGAATTTCTAGGCCAATGGGTGCGTCCATCATCTGTAGCACACATACACACCTTTAATAATGTTTGAGATTCTGCAAGTTTTTTTTTAAATTTTCAGCATACTTCAGGCCAGCAAATTCGATTCCCGTAGGCGACACAAATTTTTTGCACGGAGAAAAAAACGCATTCTTGAACTACAAAAGATGTTTTCAACTAAAAAGCTTACTTCCTACTTCTTCCACAGTTTTTCCCGCGAAAAAAACTGCTTGAGCGCCGTCCAGAACGACGTCAAAAACGTGCATGAGCACGGTAGTTTGAAAATTCGTAACTAAGGCCAGGAAAAGATTGAGAGGCTGGAAAGCACAGGTTCTATAGTATTGTGCCCATACTATCCAAAGAAAAAGTTTCAGCTCTTGAGGAGCAGCAAGCTCGAAAAAATTTAGATGCGACTCTCGCAAATTTAGATGCGATCCTAAAAAGCAAAAACTGGGATTTTTGAGCTTAAAATTTTGTAACTTACCAGAGAAGTTATAAAACAGCATGCAATATTTATGAGGGAAAGTAGGAGGATGGCCTTATATTACAGCAGAATTGCAGCCAACAAGCTTCAATAGCTCCGAAGAAATTTAGATGCGACCCAGATACGACCCCCCTTTCCTGACTTTTTGCTACCATACATAAAATCATAAGAAAATCCACAGTTGACAAAATAACACCAAATTTTGCACTGATATAGCGGAGCATCTCCAAAGTACAGATAAATTATATGGGCCCGTGAAAAACATCACAAAAAGATTTAGAAATTTATGATGGTCACAGCTGGTAAAGACATTCGCTTTTGTCGAGTGTGTGAGGCTTCAGGAAGGCTTCAGAAACAAGATTTCTAAGGCAATCGGTACACTTAGCATTTTTATCAAATAATGCATCCTTCAAAAGTGTTTTGAGATCTTGTAAATGTTTTTTTTGAGAATTTTTACAGATTTTTTATCTTTTTTATTCTGATTTCCACTTTTTTATAAATTCATTGTAAAGAACATAACTAATTGCCTGTTTTTTGATTCCCGCTGAAGCCTAGGCTATTTTAGCCTAGCTACCTCCTCTTACGACCCCTCCCCCCACCTTGGATACCCTCTTACGACCCCCCGTTGCGACAGTTGCATCACAAGCTTGACCCTGGGCCGGACCTCGGCACGACCCCCCCCCCCTCCCTCCACCCCATAAGCCTATTGAAATGTAAGACCGTAAAAGTGCTGTGTGTCGCTAGCTTCATGCGATCTCGGGTTTTTCCCAGAGTTTTCAAGTTGTTGAAGATCGATAAAATGGTGAAACTATTCTTGGTGTATTGTCATTGCTGTAGCATAAGCTTCATATGATTTTATTTTGAAGACACTTTATGAGAGGGTAGGAAGAAAGCAAGAATAAATAAAATGCCTGCATAAGATTGAGCGAATTTGGTTCATAAAGCTGCAATCATCTCTGGAACGGCCTTGAATAGATCTGCCTTCAAACCAAAATCAGACACCTGGAAGAAATGCCAAACATTTAAAATGGCCAACAGAAATTATGCATCCTTTTCATGCTCTAAACGCGAACTAGATATATATAAAGAAGGTAGACGTTTACCTGGAAGATTGGCCCGTCGGGATTCTTGTTAATCCTCAACCTCAAAAAAGATGACTTCAAAAAAGCTGTTGTTATGTTGAATAAAAGAGAAATGAATTTAGTAACATGGAAAAATGGTTTTTTAGCTGACCGTAATAGCAGCGACTTGCTATTGATACATACCTTGCTGTCCTTCATTCCAGCTAAATGCTGTATAGCACCAGAGATAGCAATAGCGATATAAAATTCCTGCAAATATATTTTCAATGTCCAAAATAAATTACTGAAATTGCTACGGACCGGTGCAATAATTTTTCCAGTCTGTCCAACTTGCATGTCATTATGCACATAACCAGAGTCTACGGCAGCTCTTGATGCTCCAACGCCGGCATCAAGTTTGTCGGCAAGATCATAGATGAGCTAAACGCCGCATCTAATATGATACAGCGAGTCAATGTCAAAAACCTCAAAGTTATCGCTACCTTCAATGCTCGACCACCAGAAACGACTCTAGCTGAAGAAAGGTCTGGTCGCTCAGATTTACTCAGTTCCTGCTTGGTAAACTCTGACGACTCTGTTTCAATTTCCGCTGAGGGTGCTGAAAATCCAGATGATACCATAAACTAACAAAACCATCAATAGATACCATCTTCTACTGCTGCACTTGTTCCTTCCTCTGCTGTCACAAACGACGTACAACGGAATGTCATTACTTTGATAGGTGCTGTACTTTGTACCTGTAATCGAAAATAACAAAGACGAAATAAATGGCAGAAGATGTTATCGACTCATAGGTGCAGTTTGCCACTGTATCTGTATCCACACAAAGTATCACACAGGAGAAAAACAATTTCAATAGAGGAAGTTTACTGCTTGAAAAGGATTCGTCAGTATCTGTTATCTTATGATCCACTTACGATCAAGCAAATGCGAAATTTCTAATTTGCTAAGTGCTGGCAGTACAAAACTAAAAAGGAATACAAAGATCGCAGTCTAAGATCCATTACGGCTAAGTCGTATTCTCACTTGGTAAGTAAGATGACCTCACAAAACACCTGATGCAGATACTGTAGCAGGACTATACTTGTTGTCACAAGCCTATATCTTACAGCAAACATCCAAAATCAAACTGCTACAATACCAAGCCGAGATTTGAGCTCATCTAGGTAACCGACTAATACATGGAAACCATTGGTCACCTGATACAATACACCTTCGCCAAAATAAGAATAAAGAATAACCAAGGAAGATAGTAAGAATGAAAACGGATAGTCAACACTCGATAGGAAATGATAGTTACAGCTTACCTTGCACACCGCTTTTCCAGCGTACATATTTCGTGTAAAAGTATCGGGAGAGTGTATCTGCGATGATCAAAGTTATGGACTTGAATAATTTGAAAAGATGAAACAGTAGAAGCTAAAACACATATCTACCTCCGTAACATCACTGACTGGGGAGCAATCGAGTTTAGCAGCGACTCGCGGGATCACACTCCGACTGAAAGCTAAGGCTCGGGCTGAGGCAACGTAAAAATTGATAACAATCGTTGAAAGTTGATATTAATAAGAGAAAAAGGATTGATCATATGCAAGCATTGAAAAAAAACCTTCGCAAACCTTCGTTCTTCTCAGAAAGACGATTGCTGTTTGTATTTCCTTTTATGTACCAAACAACTCTTCAAAAAATCCTTTCCAATACACTTGTTTTGTGGTTAGTAATGGAACAACACCTGTAACACTGCATAACAAATAGGGCTGAAGTTTTCTGAAAGAACAATGAGAGAAACAAGTGATGAAAAAGAACAAAAAAGCGAGAACATCACAGCTCATAACGAGAGTGGGATTCAAAGGCGCGTATCTCGCGCCTCTGTGTGTTTTGACAATCTTTCGAGCGCTACCGTGACCCAATATTTTTTGGCCACACTTCCCAGCATATGGTTCGCAAAAAACCATATGTATTTCCTTCTAAAGAAAAAGGTTCGAGGGGAAACAGCTACTACGGAGAGAGGAAGGATGAATCTATAGGATGATATGAAAAAGGCAGCTGTTTGAACGATTTGAAGGTACAGGGCTTTACAACCTGAGTGTCCCACCCGCCCCGCTAGGACGCCACGCTTAGGTCCGCGCAGCGTTCGTAGCGCTGGCTGCGCGTCGACTGAAGCTTGGCGAAATCCGGGCGATACGTAGCAAACGCCGCTCGCGACCTGAGCGAGGCGGCCGCGTTGGAGGAGCCGCGCAAGCGAAACTTGCGACTCTCAGGTTGAAAAGCCCTGTAAGTTAATGGCCTGCGGCACCCCCCCCCCCCTCAAAACTTGCGGCAGCCGCAGGTTTTGAGGGGGGGGGGGTGCCGCAGGCCATTAACTATATCAAAAAAAACATTTTTAGCGGACAATATGAATCAATAGCCTAAACCTCATAGATTCCATAGGCATGTTTTGAGCCTGATTCGTCTTCTTAGCTCTGAGTAATATTTGGTGAAAGCACAGCGATCAAAAGCTAAAAGCGATTTTGGTTGGCTTCTAATTCAATAGTTTGGAGGTCTTCTGAAGCGGAATTCCTGAGGTGGACAAAGAAGGAGTAGTGCTTTGTATTGAGTGCAAGAAGAGGTAGCTTATTCACCGTTAAGATAAAGTTAATCATGTTTTAAATTACTGCTTTATACAAGGTTGTTTACTGCTCGGAGACCTCAGAGTTCGCTGAAACTTGGCGCATAGGGGTTATTCGACACGCGGATTACGACAATCATGCTTGATTAGAGGTACGGTAGGTTACGGTAGGCATACGGTATCTGCAAGTTTGTGTCGTTGAACTTGAATTTTGCAGGGTTTCAACAGCGTGGCACATCTAAGAACTTAGCTGCAGTCATTTCCGCTTAGAAACCGCTTTTGACCTTGGGTCGATACGACCCCCCCTACCTACCCCCCCCCCCCCCCCCCTTACGACCCCCCCACCTGCGGCGTGCAGCACCCCCCGCTTTACCCTGATCATTACTCTCTCGGCGGGGCGGGGCGTTTCTCTGCACATTTTGTTAATTCACGTTAGCGTTGTAAGAGAACACATAGCACAACAGTAAAGCATATGGGGGAGGGGAGTCTCCCGCCGTGTCGTGTTGAAAGATTCCAAAAAATATTATAGTAAGATAAGATAGTGAAGGATGGTAAGAATATCACGGATAGGTTGACAGCGTGGAATTCACATATCTGGAGCGGAATATCAAGTTTTCTTTCAAGCTGCGATCCCCTCCCCGGCACGGATGTTAGTGCATGCGGCTCTAACATATCCCGCGTTTTGATTCTGTTTTCCCTTTACTTGTTGTCTTCCAAAGAAGTGTTGAGAAAGAAGAGTTTAGATGATCGCAGCTTTCGCTGCAAACACGTGACATTGTTCACTTAAGCTGATTTATAAACGGTAAGTGTGGAACCGAGATTAAAAGGCTTCATATATTATCGCCAGAAATGAATGCCCTGTCAAGGGAATTTTGTGGAGGCGACTCTATTGCTATGAAACGGGGCTTATAATGTGTTTGGCACAACTCATTAATGATGCATGCTACAAATCCAAGCGCTCTCCTCTGATATGTCATATCATTGCTTTACATAAGTTTTAAGTTCTTTGTACTCTTCAAAAAGTTTACTTACTTAAACTACACTTGAGGAGGTTGAGATTCCCGCCGATACGCGGACAAGCCTTGTCACCTAACTGGTGCTCGTAGCCAGGAACAAAGTAAACGAGATAAGTTCACAAGAAACTCGACCATCATTCGAAAAACGATACCTACACTCATAAAGAAACTCGACAAGTTGCAAGTACATTAATTTCCGGGATATAAGTCCTGTAACTTCCTCCGCGCGGGCTAATGTGCGATGACTTCCACAATGCGCGACACGCATATGCAGCAGCCTACTGTCTTTACCCAGCAGCAATTTTCTGCCCCGCCTAATTTCACGCGTATAGGACGCGGGGGATTTTTTTTCTAAAATCGAGCGGCACTGACGCTCCAAAGAAATTCGCGACCGGAAAACTATTTAGAGTGCTGCATATTGCCTGGGAGTATCGTGCGACATAAGTTTCGTTTTCCGAAATACAACAAGGCGACTGAGCGGTACGCTTGAAAAACCGAAAAAGGTGCGTCTTATACGCCTGAAATAAGCTAATTTTTTCCTCTCAGTTGTAGTATTTTAAACAGACACATGTGCTATCTCTTTTATTCTTTGGAAATCTGCAAAACAAAAGAAGTACCAGTAGGTAGAATCGAAAGAAAGCACAATAATGTCAGTAACGTCATTGAAGGCAGCTTCCCTGCAAAAAGATGGGTGCCGGGTTTTTGTGGCGATGTTGAAGTTGACCCCCTACCGAAGCGACGAGTGAAGTTCGGAGCGAAAAAGAGGGTCTACCAAGCCTGAAATTTGCTCCGAAAGTGGCCCGGATCTTACGGTAGGCCCTCACGCCGCCCACACAGTATACTTGGGTCCGAATCGAATAGAAATTCGATCATTCGAATAAAACATTCGAATATATTCGTATTCGAAATTCGATATTCGGAGTTCTTCCATTTTCGAATAATATTCGAAACTCGAATAATCAAAAAACAGGGTTTCGAATAAAATTCGAAAACTCGAATAATCAAAAAACGAGGTTTCGAATAGAATTCGAAAACTCGAATAATCAAAAAACGAGGTTTCGAATATTATTCGAAAACTCGAATAATCAAAAAACGAGGTTTCGAATAGATTTTATTCGAATGTTTTATTCGAATGTTTATTCGAATTCGTATTCGAATGTACTCCGTATTCAGATTATTCGACTTTGTTGCAAAGCCAACTGCTGAGTATCAAGCTCACTTCGTCCGCGTTTTTTTTTCGCAAAACTGTAATGCATCTTTTGCAACCGTTATACTTTTAAACTGTATGGAGAGTCGCATTCTTCTGACTGCTTGCGACAGTAAAAAAATCATATGCGGATTTTGATTGATGTAGAAAGTAGAGCAAGCCCTTTGCTTCTACATTGTTGATGCTGATAAGAAATAAAGTTAATTCTGGCGTACATCAGTCTCTTTCAGACCATCTGAAGAAGAATCTTTTGGGCACAGCATACAAATTTATATCGACTGCTTTTTAAATCGTCCATAATGGGTAAAATATGACTTTTTGCTGTGTATAGACTAGATGCTAACCGATCGACTTTATCGATTTTTGGGGAATTTTGAGTTGCGGGGCTGAGAGTTGGTACAAGGGGGTAAGTGAGGGTGCTGATTATGAATAAAAATTTACTTTATAAATTTTATCGATTTTTGGAAAATCTCGAGCTACGAGCTTGGGAGTTGGTACAGGGGGAAATGAGGATGCTGGTTAAAACCGAAATCTATTTTATCGATTTCAGCAATTTTTGGAAAATTTTGAGCTAGGAGTTGGTATGGGGGATACTAGGGGCTGGTTATGATTGAATCGGCTCTAGCCAGATATGTCGGCAAGTTTGAGATGTGATTGCTTTAGTTATTCGATAAATCATTCGAATATTTATTCGAAATTCGACTTCCTATGTTCGAATATATTCGATATTCATTCATTCGATATTTTTGGTTTTCCGAATTTATTCGAAACTCATTCATTCGATATTTTTGATTTTCCGAATTTATTCGAAATTCATTCATTCGATATTTTTGATTTGTCGAATTTATTCGATATTCATTTATTCGAAATTTTTCCTTTTCGAATTTATTCGATATTCATTCATTCGATGAAAAATTCTCGAATTACCCAAGTATACCACACAGCGATTTCAAACTGCAAGGCCAGAGCACGCATAGCGCACACAGTATACTTGGGTCATTCGAAAATTTTTCATCGGATGAATGAATATCGAATAAATTCGAAAACGAAAAATTTCGAAACGAATATTGAATAAGTTCGAAAATAAAAAATCTCGAATAAACGAATATCGAATAAATTCGAGGTTCAAAAATTCTCGAATGAATGAATTCCGAATAAATTCGGAAAATCAAAAATATCGAATGAATGAATATCGAATATATTCGAACATTGGAAGTCGAATTTCGAATGAATATTTGAATGATTTATCGAATAACTAGAGCAACCATATCTCAAACTTGCCGACATATCTGGCTAAAGCCGGTTCTTCATAATCAGCACCCTTGTATCCCTTATACCAACTCTTAGCTCAAAATTTTCCAAAATCGCTAAAATCGATAAAATAGACTTCGGTTTTAATCAGCATCCTCGTTTACCCCCCCCCCCCCCCCCCCCTGTACCAACTCCCAACCTCGTAGCTCGAGATTTTCCAGAAAGTGGACAAAATCGATAAAGTAAATCTTCATTCACAATCAGCGCCCTCATTTACTCCCCTGTACCAACTCCCAGCCCCGCAGCTAAAGCTTCTCCAAAAATCGATGAAGTTGGTCGGTTGGCAACTAGTCTATACATCAGCAAGAAGTCGTACTTTACCCATTATTGGACGATCTAAAAAAGCAGTCGATATAAATTTTGATCAAAACTTATTCTAGAAGTGCAGAATGCAGGGCATTTATCTTTTTAGTAAGTTGTACACGCTAAACATTGGTAAGCTGGCGTTATATTTGAAGACATCTCGTAAGTGGCAAATCGCGTACGGCGATCTAAACCGTCTAATCCTCCACTACAACTGCGATTCCTTTACTCAAGATACACCAATTCGCAAAAAATCTCTAAGGTAGCTAATAGAGGCAGTTGTGCA